CCGCCCCCCAGGTGGGGGGGGGGGGGGGGGGGAATCTCTACCTTCTGTGTGGACTGGTCCATCCCGTTCCTAGGTTGTCCCTCCCTGGACTGAGAGATGCTTTGCTTTCCCCATCCCCTACCCGCCGAAGGGGGTCTGCGGAGGAGCAAAGACCCTGATTCGGAGCAGTCTCCTGCTTTTGCCTTGCAGGTCCCAACGCAGAGCCAGACCCCGGACGCCCCGTAACAATAGCGCTCGCCTCCTCGGGAAAATTAAAAACCCTGCTTCTGCCCAGCGAGCGCTGCCCAGACCTTGGAGTTGTCCGTGATCCCCGGAAGCGGAGGCAGCGACAGCTCAGACAGCCCCTCTTTGAAGAAAGGAGCGAAGAGTAAATAGCCCGGTGATTGATGGGCTGCCTTTGACTGCGGAGAAAGCGCTATTTTCCTTCAAGTGGCCAGGTCAGATGGTCACGGAAGAAGGTTGAAAGGTAGGATTTAATGAGATTAATATGGAGGGAGAGCGACTTCATAAACATTCAGGAACATAAGCGGACTGGGAAGGGGTAGAAATCCTCGGATGTGCCGAGCCACATAGGGATCCGGCGACCAGAGGCCTCCCACTCCAGGGCAAGCCAAAAACAAAGCGAAAAGTTAGCCAGAGCTTCGGGCTTGCTCCTGGAACCCATTCTGCCAGCTGAACTTTTGCACTGCAGGTGGAAGGGGGGGTGGAATTAGTCTGGCTAATTATTGGGTTTCCTCTCCTCGACGCGCGCTTTAATTGCAGAGGGAAGCAGGGCCCTACTTATTTAGTAATAGATGGGGAGGGAAAAGGAGACCATTTTAAAAAATGTAAATATAGGGCAACTTCCAAGCCTGGGTCGCCAAAAGCGCTGACATTCCCACTATGGATCGCTCGCTTGCAAATGTATCAATATTTAGTCCTTGTGTGGACCCGAAGGGTTGAAACCCTCATTGTGGGGGGCGCTGAAATGTTGCCACTGTTGAGCTGTCGTTTCAAAGCGGTTGAACTATTTCCTAGCCAGGCTCTAGGTATCTTCCACGCCCCTAAAATGAGCTGGCAATAAACTAAATGTCTGGGTTTAGTCTGGGTTAAACTAACTGCTCGTAGTTATTTTCTCCTCCACCTTACTGGCCATTCATTGTGTCCGCAAAACAGCCGTGGGGAGGGGAGACCCCCGTCCATTTTTTTCCGAATGGCATTTAAAAAAAAATCCGATTGAACAAATATTGATATAAGCGTGCAGCCCAATTGACACGAGGATTGGAGGAAGAACAGCGGAATAATTTTAAATGAAATTTCTCGCCGCATAGGGTTGCTAATTGCACGCGGGGTTGTTTTAAAAAAATAATAATTCTGCGTGCAAGTCATTCTTGGCTGGCGGTCGAATCTACAAGGCGTATCGTGCACTGACTCCTTAGCAAGACGAGCATTACAACGCACATGCATGAAATAGAACCAGCTAACTTTTCAATCCAGGGAGCCGCAAACGGCAGACCGTGCTTCTGTTAGCTGACACATTTAACAACTGTGCTAGACTCCAGCTGTCGGGCTGAGTGAAGGGACCCTCAGGTGCGTAGCAAGAGCTTAATCTACTCGAAACGGTCAGAGATCACTTTCACCTGGGAAGAGAGCACAGCAGAATCCTAAGGATTTTATATACCCCCTCCCCCCAACACACATACTATTTCCCTATAAAGCCGGCTAGAATGCAAGAACCTCAATTAACACCGATTGCACAAAGGTGTCACTGGAAAGCCTGTTCCTTGGCTTCGCAACTCTTAACCATAAATCTTTCGATTGCCAAAAGTGTAGCATCCCGGATACCTAGAGGTGTGTTCCTTCCAGAAACAACACAGCAGCTGCCTTCCCCTAACCGCTGTACCCGACTGGCCTGGCCTTGAGGGTTTTCTCGGGACAGATTCCTAGACAGCACGGGGGACTCGCCGACCTGTTTTCTGAAAGCATTAATTTTATTTATTCATTACAAATTAAGCAGGAAATGAAACTGCAAAGCAAACGAGCTGGTGGGCTGCGAACTAAGAAGCAAAGAGGCTGGGAGTAGCCTTTAGCTTGACTGGGGAACGATTTCTTTCCTTGTCCTTGTATTTACAACGCTCCTGTAGTGAATGTGATCCGTGCACTATTTAAATGTTGTAACCAAGATCAAACGGATTTCTCTTCAGGGTCCCCCAGCCCTTCCTCCTCCCCCTGTCCATCTGACCGACAATAATTTACAAAAAAGGAAATATCCCGTGTGGAAACGGGGGGTGCAGTTTTCCCTCCCTCTCCCTCCCAGTCCGAAAAAAAAAACCCCACAACAGGTACAAAACTGACATCGAATTTATCCAAGAGCATTTGTGAAAGGAGGAATTGCGGGAGGAATTTTTTAAAAAAACAAGAACTAATCCCCAAGTTTAGTGTGTGTTCACATTCTGAAATTATTAAAATTGTGTTAAAAATGCGAAGTGTGCTTTCCGGATTGGGTCACAAGACCCCCCCATCGCTTTTGTTCCAGGGAACAATTTGTTTTAAGTCAAACATATTTCGAGTGTATCATTCTTATAAAAAAAAATCGAGGCGTGATGTCCGTTTACACGGCGCTCCTTCTAGGTTATAGTTCGATTCGCTGCGCAAGTACAGCCGGCTCGCAGCCTGCTTGTGTACGCTCTCGCATGCCTTCCCCTAGTCCCTGGTGTGTTCGCCCGCACGGCGTGTTTTGCTGCATTTCAGACTTGACCTCGGGTGGAGGGGGGAGAAATCGGACTAACGACCCAAAGCTGGGGCGTAGCAAATCCCGAGCTCCAAACTATGAAAAAAGAAGAAAGCTCTGTAGCCCTCTTGCATGCCGATTCTGCGGCTGGCTGTCAAAAACCCGACCTCCCCGGGCAGAGGAGAGCAGACGCAGGACCGGGTGTTGGATTGTACAAAGGAATCCATCTGATCCCGTTTTGCACCTGTTTGAATTCGTATCGCTTTCACGGATCTGTGTGTGGGGGGGGGGAGTGGTCCCCTATTCCTTGCTAGTCTGCTGGGGAAGGGAGTCACATGTGGCCGCCTGGCCTGGCAAGGTTAGCCCAATGAATAACCGTGTGTTCTCCCCGCAGCCGGACGCCCCGCTCCCCCGGCGAGCTCGGTGCCCTTTTACACCGATTTCAGAGGACGCAGACTGGGCGGGTGAGTGGCTGAGCAGGATACAGAGAATCCCTGCCCAGCGCTGGGGGTGCCACAGTCGCTCGCCCGGATCCCCATGGGCAAGCTGGGTGCATGCCCGCAGCAGGTTTCAGGCTTGGGCAAAGCTATTCCCCGCGCCCCGGGGCAGGATCCGACTCGCGTTCCTCCCCGGGAAACTCGGGCCTTTGGGAGAAACGAAAGCCCCGGAGGCGGGGAGAGGAGCGCACCTTCTGCCTCGGAGACTCGCTTTTGGCCCAGGCGCGTACAACCGGGGGCAGGAGGAAGCTGGGGAGGTGTCTGCCAGGCACCCAGAAACCAGCCGGGGCGAGATGGCCACGTGAAGACTTTCTTAGGCTCTGCCGCCACCCCTCTTTCCACCCGAGTCCGAATCCAGCCGGGGCGAGTGTCCACACGCGCGCGCGCCGGGGCTCGAAGGGGGCTACTGGAGGGGTTCGAACTGGGCTGGACTTTCGGCACTGGACTTCGAAGCGGCGCTGCAGGCGACACTTTGCGGCCAGGATCCTGGCTTGACCTCCCCCCCCCCCCCCCTTCGCCAGCCCGATTGGGGCAGCGGCTTTCGGGGTGGGGTTTTTTTGCGCCCCCGGCAGCTTGTCAAAACAGGAGGTCGCCTCTCCCTTCTCAAGTCGGGAAGCAGCTTAAAAGGGCTAGGAGAGGATGGCGGAGCCGCTGCTGTCTCCTCCCGAGGATTTCGGCACAAACGCCGATTGTTTCTGTAGGGAGATTACTCTGAGAATTATTTTTTTCTCCCCCCAAAAAACAAGTAAACGCCCCTTGGCACATGGGGCGGGGGGGGGGGCGGGGACACGG